CGTGAGGGATGGCCACAGGATATCTACATAGGGAAAAGGTCCATGAAAATTAGGAAATCTCTGTCTTGCCTGACTTCTGGCAAGCACTTGGGGTCAAGGTACCCAGGGCTGCAACAATCCCCACACTAAGATGCTGCCTTGGCATTTTCCCCATCCCTTTATATAACATGTGTATGTAAATTGTAATCACTATATTTGCTTCATGGGAAATGACTTCCTTTTCCTATGAGAAAAAATAAGACACAAGTTTGTATAAATTATCACAAGCTAGAACAAGTTCTGTATGTACATCCACAAGAATCCCTACTATAAATTCAACCTACAGCCAGAGGTTTCAAAAAGCTTGTTTATTCATAGAGTGAAACACAGGAAAACAATTTAAAGTCACCCTCTTCCCAATAAAAGTGCAAATGTCTTTGGACCTTAAAAGAGAAAGTAAATGACATAGTTTAACACTTTGGAATAGGGTGAAATTTTAAGTTTGTTTTTTTTTTTTTGCAATAGCAGCAGAACAACATTCAGGTAAGTCTTTGGCCTTTTTTTTTTTTGAAAGAGACATTTTACTACAACTTTTTACTGCCAAAGCAAGAAATATTAAAGATTTGCTTTGTAACACTTCATGCACTTTTGAAAAATAAAAACAAAATAGACGGAATGTTTTAAAATGACTGAAATTAAGGCGTGTTAACTTCATGAGGACAGCAGCTATGTTATATATTTTTCTATCCCAGAGTGCCTTGCATCTACTAGGCACTTAATAAATGGTGCTGAAAATCAAAACACATTAAGTTTGCTTAAGAATATGTATCATTTTCAGATACTTATAAAGGGAAAGAAATGTGTATATGACTTAGCTGGTATTATCTTGATATATTTATAACCTTATTCTTCTCCAGTCCCCCCACCCTGACACCCATGGCTAACAGGGTCATTATAACCACCCCTTGTAAGTACTTTATACCTCTCTAAAACATAGGTATAAAAATATGTAGGTATGAAATTATAAACAGTAGTGTCTAAGTCACAGATACACTTTTTAAAATAACAATAATGATGATGATAGTACTGAGGATTTTTTTCACTTTCAATGCACATTGCAAACCAACATTAGCTATGCTAATCCTCTAAACCTCTCATGAGGTAAGGGTACAATTATCCTCAGTTTACAGATAGGGAAGCTAAGGCAGAAAGGCCCCAAGTCACAGAGGCACTTGCTCTTGAGATAAGAGGAGGAAAAAGATCTTTGGGACCACATTTTATTAAGAGACAAATTTCAACCCGATTGCAAAAGTGGCAGACTACCCCCTTCAGGCTGCTAGGGTGCCAATGGATAAAGTCCTGTTTCAGTGGAGTGGAGTCTAATAGCCTGAAAGAGTTAATATACCCATGAAGGGGATTTCGGGAGAGACTGAAATTAAGCTGTGGGAAAGTGAGACATGTGGCCCACAGGCCTGGCTATTTTTTCTGAGGCTCACTGCCATCAGATAAATCACTGCAAAGACACCAACGCTTTAAAAATATATATATATACATGGTGCGGGTTACCTGGAAAGTTTCCAAAACTAAGTGAGGCACCTGAGAGAATACCTAGATCACACCCAGACATCAAATCATTCCCAGGATCTGGCTTCCTGCTTCCCAGGTGGTGTTCAGCCTCCACCAGAAAGCATGTGCAATCTGGATGGCCAAGTCCAGTATGATGGAAGAGCTTGAGCCCACAGTCCCAAGGAACAAAGTGCTACAAACTGACCCACACTTTCTTTGGTAAAGAATTTTGATTGGTATCCTAACAACTCAACTCTCAATAGTCACATTAGATAAATTATGTGAAAAGTCCTATCTGTAACTATATTAATCTACTGGTTTAGCTTTACAATAAAGCTTAAATAAGATAATATAACACTTGGAATATTGCACTCTCAATATATAGGTAACAAAACTACAATCTATAACCAAAAATACCAAGTCTCATATATTCAAGGAGTAGACCATTTAACATAGGAATTCCTCCTATGCAATTCTCTCTCACCCTGTCTTCTCCTATCTTCACATCAAGTTTTCACTCTTCTGACTCTCCTTACTTTGCCATCTTTTGATTCACTTTCCTAGTCCTTAAAACATTCTTTGCTCCACTTCCTCATTTTCCCTTTCTTAGGCTCAAGTTTCATTTTGCAAAAACACTTGTAGGACCCAATTCTACCCTTCCCAGAAGAATCCAGTACAGTTCCCATATGGGTCAGTAGAAGTTACCTTTGGGTGCCTCAGGCTAGAATGATTCATCTTCCCCCAGTTTTCTTTCGGCACCAGCAATTCATGTAACTACTGTGGCACCAGTAAAAAAATAAAACAAGTTCATTAGAGGTTTCCATGTATTTTATCTCCAGTACCAAACACACACCAAAAAAATGTGTAAATTTTTTAAAAAGAGAGAGAACTACCCTCTGGAGTGATCCACCATGTAGCTCATTTAAGGGAATGGTGCCATAATAAAAAATAAACGTAAGTGCCCTAGACAACCATCATCCCTTGCTTATATGCCATATTATTTCATGTGTACATAGTACATGTTTTGGGCTACTAAGCATTGACCAAAATTGATCTAAATCTCTAAGCTTTGGTTACCATGTACAAAGAACAATTGCTCAGCATGGCATATAAAAAAGATATTTATGTTTAGAAAACACAAATACAATGCCCCATTAATTAAAAAAAATAATAAAAATAATAAAAATAATAATAAAACCTTGAGAATAGCCATGGCTTTAGATAGGATACCTGAAAATAAGGCTGCTGCAGCAGCACATTACCAGATTTATGGTTTTTTAAAATAACATTTAAAAAAAGAACCCATCACCAGAGTTAGAAATTTTGATAAATTAACCTTCCAAAGTTTTATAGTTGCCCAAATTCTCCTATTTCCCTACCTGAAAGGTACAAAACAAAATTGTACTAAATTAAGATGAAAATATTTTGAGGTCAGCTATTTTAAATTGTCCCAGTTCCTGAACTGGCTGATGAGAATGCTCTTTAGGTTGATTACATGAAATGCTTTTTTAAATATAGATAAAGGATATAATAACCTTAATATTTATTGAAAGAAGTTTATCTTAATGGTAAAGTTTAGATTCCTTTATATCACCATGCTTAAAGATAGATTACTTTGGTAAATTCAGTACCTAATGATTAACACTGACATAAAAAAAGAAGCTGGAATGGTTTTTGGTATAGAAACTAAAACTTTTCTATACTTTTCTACAAATATTTCTAACTTGTTCTCCTAATGATCCAGGCTGTGCTTCAAAGGAAGCCAATGTTCAGTGCAGCCCAGTCTGAGAAGTCCTCATGTGAGGTTATTACTTATAAATTATTAATCCAGAAACTTGAGAGAAGAGCCTCCTAAAGCAGTAAAGTTTGAGGAACTTCCTTAAGATTGTCCAAGCATTCAACAATGGTCCTATTCTGAACAGTTAGAACTTTGTGAATTCTTGGGATACCTATCCATTTATTTTAAAAACACATACATGCATACACACACATACACAGACACACACACACAGAGGCACACACACAGACACACACACACTGCCAAAACAAGCTAGGCTAAATCCAAAACCCTAGTCAGAAGCTGTAAAACTGTCATTCCAACCAGTGGGACAATTGATTTATCTAAGCCTAATGGCAACTGGTAAAAACATGACTGCACCTCAGTCAAAGCTAGAAATTTAGAGGCTTGCAAGGAAAGATTTCAGAAAAGACCAACAAAGAAAAAGAACCCCAATGCTATGTAGGAACTAGTTAAGTATGATTTATGCCTTGGTGGTAAGGGGAGGGGGAACAGCTGACAAAGGTTATTATTTCCCTTGCTCTCCTGTTTTCTGCATTTTCCCTTTACAGCCTCAGGAATGGTTATCCTCAATAATCTATGCCCAAGATGTTGTACTGTATGGAAATGTAGCCCTTTTATGGAAGCTTGGCAGTCTCTGAGAATACACAGCATTAAAATAATCCTTGTAGACTTGGCATAGCTTCCTTCACGGCCCCTTCAGGCTCTAAGTTCAGAAGCAGCTTGGGTGATGGCTGTGCAATGAAACACAGGTCATTCCAAAGTGACAAGGGGGAGAAGGAAAAGATTAGCTTTGTATCAAGTAGCAAAGATTTGGTTTAATATGCCAAAGGAAAGGCCTAAGACATCTCTCTCTAATATAGGCATTGATAAGTTTTATGAGCTCATCAGTGTTGCTGAAAAACATTTGCTGTTAACCATGGTCCTTTGTGCTAACATTTTTCATTCCCTGGCTTCTTCTGAAATATTAAGTAGGATACCAACTAATTTATATTGCTGTATAATAGGTCTGCAAAATGCAACACTAGGTAATAAAAATTACTATAAAATTAAGGCATTTATCAAAATAAAGTGCTATTTTCTCCTTAAAAGGGTTTTTTCTAACAAATTCTCCATCACCTTTTGGCATGTTGTGAAACAATGCTTTGAAATCTTGTCAAACATGCTCTTAATTGCACTACTCACAGAGCACACTAATATTAATTTGTAGAATCCATAACTAAGTTACACAGTACATCATCCCCTCTTCTTCCAGCTATGGTTTATGATCCAGATTCATTTATGCAAGGCAAGTGAACAGGTGCTATGGACCTTGGACAAAAGATGACCCCACCTCCCCCAACTCCCCTTTTGACCCGACTCTCCCCATTGCCTGGGTTCTGATAGGCTATTAAAAATGAATCAACATTTGAACTCCTTGTTCCTAAAGTAGTGGCAGGAATCTATCTCTGGTATGTATAATGTAAAGAAGGCCAGGGCCAAATTCTGTGGGAGCTCCAGAAATATGAACCTACTCTGCCGCCCTGGGGTCTTTTCATTCATTCCAGCGACCCAAAGGCTGTGACACACCGCCACCCCACCCCACAAACCAAGAACATCTTATGTTCATTCTCCTCCCCCACCCCCTCTCCCCATAAGACTGAGAGAAGGGCCTTACTAAGCTAGCAACTATCCTTCAGGTTCCCTTCTCGGGATATGTGGTCAGGTGAAGGCATTTTCCCGGTTTTAGGGATCGTGCTCCGGGAAAACTTGGACCCGCTGGCTCCGAGGCTGAGGGCTCCTGGCCAGGTATCGGGGTCCCCCGTAGGGTCGGAGAAGCTGGGGCAGCCGGCGCCACGTGGACACCAGTTGCGTTGCCACGAACTCCCGGGCGCGCCCGTCGAATGAGGCCAGGAGGTCTACTGGAGCGGCTTCGCGCAGCACTTTGGGCAGCTGGCCGATCTCAGCTGTGAGTCCGACGGCTCCGTCACGGCCCAGAAAACAATGGAAAAGCGGGCGGTGGCGGAGCAAGCAGTCCCTCAAGTACAGCACCAGCTCCTCTAGCCTCTCTCTCAAGTGGACCTCTTCCCAACTATGCAGAGGATCCCCTCGAAGCAGCAGAGTCAGAAGCGCGGTCTTGAGCGTGTAAGATGACAGGATGCGTCCCCACTGGGATGAGGCCACAGGGTCCAGTCCTCGTGCGCCCAGATCCCTCAGTGCCTTTAGCAACTGCAGGCATTTAAGGTGACAGGCCCCGGGTGGGGCTCGTTCTTGAAGCCAGCCCAGCAGCCGCTGCTCCTGGCGAGCTGTGTTCAATCCCCACAGCGCCTCGACCCTAAGCCCTCCAGGGAGCTCCGACGGGAGCCCAGGGGGAGGCAGTGGCGGTGCCACTAGGAAGACTCCATCTCCCAAGTGTACAGCAGGGATAAGGCGCACGGCCATGGAGAGCCGGCAGCAGCCGTAGTCGGTGCGGCAAGGCAGAATGTGCAGGGTGGGAGGCTGGTCGAGGCCCCCAGGAGATAGGCTGACCCGGCAGCGCTCCTCCAAGCTGTACCGCACTGTGGCAAGGCATCGCTGCAAATGCGTCTGGAACCAACGTGACACTAGCGCTGCAGAGAGGTGGCGCCGGCCGCGTAGGTCCACGCAGAAGCCGTCGGAGAAGGGTTTGGAGTCCCGGTGCCATTGGCTTCCAGCCCCACCAGAAGGCGAAGGCGGTGGGGCCTTGAGGGCACATACGAAGCAGCCACGAAGCGCCAGAGGCAACTCGGGCTCGGAGCCCAGGCCTCGAGGTTCCAGCGCCGCAAGAGGCGGGAGGCGCAAGGGGACCAGCACATCGAAGCCATCCGGCCGGCGGATCTTGTGCTGCTCGTAGGCGCTGCCCACCTGGATGAAGTCCCCCCGAAAGGCCAGAGCTAAGGTTCCTCCGGGAGAAGGACCTGGAGATCCCCTGGCCCGGCCGGCACGGACCAGTTCGCCTACGATGCGACTCACGTGCGCTTTGCTGTGGCCCAGCACATGAGGGGACAGGCGAACTTCGTGCTCATAGTAACTCTCCAGTAAAACATTGAGGCCCGGCTCGAGTCTCGAAGACAACGGGGTGAGTGCCTGTTGGGGAACGCGAGGCAGGAAACGTTGCCGGGCTGCTTGGCGAAAACGCAGAAGGAGGTAACCCAGGAACAGCAAGAGAATCGCTTTGAGCAGCGGGAAGCCAGCGTCCTCGCCGTCCTGGGGCTCGGCGGAGCCGCCCCTTCCGCTCAAGACGTGGTAGAGGCAGACCAGGGCGGTGCAGAAGCCGGTCACCAGTGGCCAAAAGACGCGCAGGTTGAGAGTGTAGTGCACCGACATGCTGGGCGCCCGGGGCAACGTCCGGTGGTGGTCAGCCCATGGTCTGAACCTCCGCGACGGCGACGGTGGTTTCCCCTTCTCTGACCCCACATACAAGCAGCAGCTCGAGCCCTACCCTGACTTCCTGGGGCCAGCTTAGCCCTTAGCTGGTTTCTGGAAGTCAAGCCTCTCCTTCTCGATCAGTCTCGGCTCCCGCACCTTCTCTGGCTCCCGGGCTCTCTTCAGTCCCTTCTCCCAACTCAAGTTCTCCTTCCAGCTTCGGTTTCGGCTCTGCCCCGCCCCGTCCTCCAGCGCACGCCTCCGGTCCGGGCCTTTCTGCAGCTCCTGTCCCGTCTCGGGCTCCGGGCTAGTTTCAGCTCCTCTCCCGCCCCTGCGTCCAGGAGTAGTCCCTCGTGCCAGCAGCTGTCCGGGACCCTCGCTTGCTTGCTGTAGTCCTAACCTCTCCAGGTCCGCGCTTCTTTTCCGTTCACTGCCCTGCCGAATTCGAAGCCTTCGCCCTTCCCCTTCCGCCCCTGCCCAAGGCTCAGGTCGGCCAGCTGTCGGGTCGGTGAGTCCACGGTCCAGCCTCTGGCACTGCTAGAGCTGGGCTCCTGAGGTTCAGGCCCTGGCTTCCCCTGATCCCGTTATTTGGGCCGCGAAGTTTCCTCTTCCGAGGAGAGAAGGGGCCGAGCCAGCGAGTGGAGAGGAAATGCCGATGTCTAGCAGCCGAGCTGGGAGCGGGCGGGGTCGGCCCCCTCCCCTGGGGCCGCCTCCTTAAAGCAACACGAGGCCGAAGCGGACCTGGAAGTTCGGAAAAACTGGGCCAGAAACTTGGTTCTTTGCAACCAGATGCTGAAAATAACAGAAATGCAAGACTTGGAAACATGAAAGAGGACTTGCCGGGGCAGGCACACACTGTGCAAGCTTTGGCCCAGGGCAGTTATTGCACGAGGGGAACTGCTGATAAATAAACAGCCAAAATGAAAAGTGGAGAGTATAGGAAAATTAAAAACACACCTAAACTATAATACCCAAATGTTCTAGGCTCTTGCTAGCAGGCTGGGGTGGTGAGGTGTAGTTGTCAAATACATATGACCTACCTTCCTAACTTCTTTTTTTACCCTTCTACTTTCTATGTATGTGTGTATGGATGTATATGTAATGGATTTTCTATCTTTCTTTTTTAAACCAAGAAAACCCATTTATCCAAATCATAGCAGAACAGAAATCAGAGACATTATCCATAAGAGAATACATACCAGACAATACAGAGTGAAGGAGTTCTCCCATTGGGAGAGAGAGAATTCAGTTCAACTAAGAAAGAGTGTCCTGGATCTCACTCAAGGGGGAGACTCCCTGAAGTCTCTAGAATAACAAGCTGAGGATGGGGCATGATGGAGATTCTCAGCTCCTGTCATGTGTTCCCAGAATCTTTTCCCTCAAGAAACCTGAAGTATACCCCTTTATTCTAGTTTCATTCTATCTCTAGATTTGCCCCAAGGCAATAGGAAACAGCTCCAGAGTGCCAGAGCCCACTCCTTCCACCATGGCTTGGGGAGTGAAGACACTGAGTTCTATTCTGGTACTGCCACTAACTGGCTATATGGCCCTGGGCAAGTCAGCTACTTTAAGCCTCAGTTTACTCATCTTTAAAATAAGAGTGTTGGATGACTTTAGGGTCCCTCAAGTACTAACATTCTATTGTAATGGCCTCCCATATTTTATATCGAGAATTAGAATTTTGAATTTAAAGAGAAATTACAAATTAGCATTCAATTTTTATAATTATGCAACTGCAAATAAATCTGGTATTTGTATTCAGGAACCACCCTTTGAATCAGGAAATCCTATGAATGTGTCCTAGTTCCCAGAGGAGAGTCAGCCCCTAATGCTGTCCATTGCTACCTCTCCTCTCTGATGGAGTAGGAAAGATGTGGTGAAGTTGTTACAGAATCCCCCTCAACCTGGCCCTGTAGGGAAATATTGGATAAGTGATTCACTATAGCTGACCCCCATAGATTCAGCAAACCTTTCAGGGAAAGGATATAAGAAAAAGTGGGGGAGAAAAACATCAATAGCAAGCAACACTACTACTAATAGCTAGCATTTATATAACTCTTTAAAGATCCTCAAAACAAGCCTTTGAGGCTGGTGAAATTATTATCCCCATTTACAGATGAGGATACTGAGTCTGAGAGAGATTAAATGACCAGCCCAGATAGAAATGACTGAGGAAGAATTCAAACTGAGATCTTCCTGATTCCAAGTCAAGTTTTCTATTCACTTCATCAAATGAACACCTCTTTGGGGGATGAAAAAGAAGTCTACAGTACTATCCCTGCCTAGAGAAACTTGCAGTGTTGTAGAGATATCCCTACTACTTCTCCTTTAAGAATGTAAAATTTCATCAGTGTGAGTCCTCCCACTATAACTTAGTAGATGGTCTCTTAGGGTTGTGGCCAAAAAAACCTTCATCTCCCCACAGACAGCCTGGTAGTGAGATAGGCTGCTACTACAGCCACTTCCTGGCTCCCACTTAAATCAATTGCAGCTTGGTAGGACTTTCCAGAAGCCAAAGACTCTACAACATGTTGAGGCATCCATATAGGACCTTAGCGGAAAGAAGCACCCAAAAGCCCACATATTGCAGTATTAAAAATAAAATACTGAAATTAATACAATAAAGTGTGAAGATATATAGACTGGATGTTATGGGCAGTACTTGAAAGGGTAAATATCTAGCTGAGGTAACTAGGGGGCTCAATGGATAGAGCACAGGGCCTAGAGTAAGGAAGATCTGAGTTCAAATCCAGACTCAGATTCTTACTAGCTCTGTGCCCTTGGGCAAGTCACTTGACCTCCATTTGCCTCAGTTTACTCATCTGTGAAATGGAGATAATAATATTACCTACTTCCTAAGGTTATTGTGAGGATCAAACAACATAATGTTTGTAAAGCACTTAGCATAGTGCCTGGTACATAGTAGGCACTTCGCAAATGCCCCTCTCTTCTCCTTTCATCTCCTCTCCTCCCCCCCTTCTCCTTCCTTCCTACCATACATCCTTTCTATCTTCCATCCTTCCTTCTTACCTTCTCCCTTCCCTCCTTCTTTCCATATTGATTAAGTTTGGGGGCAAAATTTCATAGAGGAGGTAAGATTTAATAATAATAATAGTTAGCATTTATATAGCAAATATTAATATACAAACATTAACTAATTTCATCCTCACAGCAACACCTTGGAGGTAGGTGTTGTTATTATCCCCATTTCACAGATGGGGAAACTGAAATTGATAGAGGTTAAGTGACCTGCCCAGGATTACACAACTAGTAAATATCTGAGAGTGGATTTGAACTCATGATGTCCTGATTCCATGTCCATAGCTCTATGCACTTTTTCCCAGTGCCTTAAGGTGACCCCTGAGAGGTAGGATGTAAATAAGCAGAGGGGAAGGCATTCTTGGGGAAGAGTCAACATTAGCTTAGCATACATAAGGAACAGTGTGCAGATCAGAGCTCTGATACAGTGGCATATGTGTGTCCTGAAACTATGAAAATGTAGATATGTTAAGATGGGACTGGATTAGGCCTTTAAATGCCAGTATAGGAAGTCTGGTTGTTGATCTGAGGAGTGCTATTCAAAACACGAATGTTTCAACTCTAGGGAATGAGCACTTTGTTCACTCTCATTAACCTAAGACGGTGGGCTCTGTTTTCCAGCTGTGAAAATAAACTATTAGAGCTAGAGGCAGCTAGGTGTAGGATTAGATGTTTTCAGCATAAACTCTCCAAAATTAGATGCTCCAGCATGTATGCAAATTCCCAGAATTGTCCTAGTCTAGGAGACAGAGTATGTCCTGAACCATATAGCATAATAATAGCAGCTCACATTTGTAAAAGCAAGGTTTACAAAGCAATTTTACATACATTATCTCAGTTGATCTTTACAACAACCTACCTCAATATATGGTTTCCCCCATTTTATAGATGAGAAAACAGGCTTGGAAAGATTAAGCAAAATGCCTAGGGTCACATAGCTTGTAAATATCAAGGGTTTAAAATCAGGTCTTCCTGCTCTAAATTCAGAGAAATTCCCCAGTTTGGTCCCAGCCTCTTGGGTTTTGATTACTGTTGTTTGTTTTTGGTACTTTTTGTTGTTGTTTTAAAGGAATTTTTAAAAATCAAACTTTTCGCTCTACTTTAATAACCTACCATAAAGACCTGTTGGTCTAGCCCTGTCCTGCTTTAGAAAAAAGTAAACCCAAACAGATTACAGACTGTCACTGGAAAATGCTTCCCCCTGGTTTGTACTCTGTCTCAAGGCCCTTATTCATCTAAGAGTCACACTTAATGCAGGAAAAGGAGAACTTTGGTCTCACAGAGATGAAGCAATAGAAAGGGGCTAATGAGTATGTAATGCAATTGTATGCCTATAAAATGATCCAATATTCAACTGAAGCCCTTGAGAATTATACTATAAACCGAACACAATTAGATATTAATAAATAGATTTTTTTTCATCTACATTAGGTTCCACTCAATGCTTAGATCACAGATCTTTGTGAACTTCATCATCACCAGGAAGATTGTTGAGATATTTTCCATGCTTGCTAGTGAATAATTCACTTCGGTTATATAGTTCATGGGGCCAAACTTGGGAGTTTTCGAAGTCCAAGTTTGGTGCATTATACAGCTATCCCATATTAACAAACAACACTAGAGATGTGATTTTTTTTTCTCTTCAGTTTTATCTTCAGAATATTTGCTTTGCCCAGCTGGGCTCTTGTGAGACCCTTAGTCATTTGTACTTAAAATAAAGAGCAGTACCTTATCTTGATCCTTGTGATCATATGTCTACAGACACAGTCATGATGGGATTATGACCAGCCAAAAACAGTTCTGCCCAGGACCCATTTCAGGTTATAATCACACTCTGATTTTTTCACTTGGGGGTGTGTAGGGAGTGGGGTTGGGGGATGGGTTCCCCTTTGTCCAAAGACAGAAATCACTGCTATCTTCATGAGACTCAAGAAGATCATTGGACAATGGGTGTTTTGATCTCCAAAAGGAGGAGCACTTTGACTGAGTCACTGTGATTTCCTTCTAGCCAAAGAGACTCAGATTTACTCATTTTCCTGAAGGGGAAAAAAAAGAGACTTCCCAGGTAAATTGGCATGCTCAGCATGAGAATGTGCCAACCACAAGAAGAGAATGGAGAACTCAGTACATTATTGCTTTGAGCTGTCAAACTTTTCCCCCTTTCTTAATGTTGTATTCACTGGCTCAGGGTAGGAATGCTTAGGGTGAGACAAGCTTAGCAAGTTCCTCACCTATTTGTGATGATCTCATCTTGCTCAAAACTTCTACTGCCTTTTCTTTGTACCTCTCTTATTGCAGCTATCAGATTCTGCTTTGTTCAATATAGTTCTTTGATCCTAAAGACCAAACCTATCTCAGAATCATGCAATTTCAGAGTTAGAGGAATATCAGAGACCATCTAATCCAATGTGTACCTTAAAAAAAATCCCTATAATGTAATTAACAAGTGTTATCCAGTGTCTGCTTGAAGACCTCCACTATGCATTCCATTTTTGGACAGCTCTAATTGTTATCAAGTTTTTTGTTGTTGTTGTTGTTCAGTCATTTTTCAGTTGTGCCTGACTATTTGTGACACCATTCCGGGTTTTCTTGGCAAAGATACCAGAGTGGTTTGCCATCTCCTTCTCCAGCTCATTTCACAGATGAGGTAATTGAGGCAAGGAGAGTTAAGTGACTTGTTTAGTGTCACATAGCCAATAAGTGTCTGAGGTCAGATTTGAACACTAGACGATGAATCTTCCTGACTTCAGGCCCAGTACTCTATCCACTGCGCCACCTAGTGGCCCAGTTTTTTTTTACAGCATGCATAAATTTAATGCTTTTTAACTTCAGCTATGCCATAGCTCTTAGTTCTGCCCCTTGAGGCAAGGTAGACTAAATCTAACCTCAGGGTTCATAAACAGTCTCAG